CTTTCCGTTCTGAAAAGTTGCTGCCAAATTTTCTCTATTTTGCAACTTATAGCAATCCTTAATTAAGTACCTGAATTCTTGCAATAAATTTTAAAGTTGGACCTTAATTTTACCTTTGCATAACCACCATCAAGAACAAGACCATTTCCATGAACCTCAATAATATTCATCTTTTCCTTTGAAAATAGATCATTATATGCTTCTTCAATGGTGAGAGTATCACGATAATATAAAATCCTGTCTCTAAATAACAAATATGAAGCGGGCAAAAAACACAACAAAATCAATTCCATATAAGCGAGCACTACTCACATCCTAATTTGTCATAATTAAAATCTTGTACCGCGATTTAATATCGGAATATCAAACTTTATGATTGCAATCCTAAAATCAAAATCTCCCTATTAATAAAATCTTAGCTTTGATACCAATTGTTATAAACAACGAAGAAGATACTAGATTGCTCTGATATCAATTTGTTGTAATAATATATGAGAAAAGAAAATATTGCACAATATGAAGTAATTGATCATAATAATACAATAACAAAATAATTTACAGAGTAAATGAGATTTCACTAAAATATAGAGAACGAATACAATGATTTTGTGTTTATAATTTGTCTGACTAGTAATGAGATTAATTAACATATCTAACTTGTAGAGAAGAGTCAAACATATATAGGGAACAAATAGGGGACATTCATTATCCTAGTTTTGATGATGTAGAATGCTGAAAACGCATGTAAAACGCGAAAATGGGCCTAGGCCGAATGAACATGGGCTCGAGCGTCCGGCTAGGCGCCAACTTCATTGCTTTGGGCGTTTGAGAGCATAATCCCTAGTCCATATCTTGATCTATTCAAATTCAACACAAATTCCAATTCCCAATTGGGTTTCAAAATAAAATTTCAACTAGAGTTTGCTAAATAGACTTTGAATAGGATTCAAAAATAGCATTCCAAATAGAATTCTTCTTAAGTCGACTTTAATTAGAATTTCCAATTATGTTCCAAATAGAACCAAATAAAATTTGGGTCAAACCGAAATTCTAACAATAATGTTCTCCTCATTTTCACAAATTCTCTCATAAAAGTCTAGAACGCTCAACGTACGCTCTTGCGAACATGCACGTACAACTTTCTCTAGTTTCTTTCTCTAAATATTTTCTAAACTTACACAATTAGGAATGCGCATAATTCTCCTCTTAAATTCACGTCACCTTGATGCCAAGTGCAATTATTCTCAATTTAATATCATGAATGTATTGAACCCTTGAACGATAAGTTTCCTTCTCCTATATGAATATTATCTCATTCTACCATAAGATTTTTTTTTAACTTAATCTTTTCTTTCTCCATTGTATTGTAAAAGAAGAATTCATTTTCCTTTCCATGATTAAATTCTTTCATAATTGGGACAAACCCAACAATCTTCACCTTAACTTGAAATTTCTCAATCACGGCACACTTATATACCCATCATCGTACTCTTTTATTGGTGGATGCCACCATTGACAAAAGAAAATTCAAACTTTTCAATTGGCTTCTTATACTGTAAACTTCAATTTTCTTTTACCTTTAACAATAGTGTAATACCTTCGCCGCGCATGACTCAGTCGGCAAAACACATCTATTGAACTCGATCATCACAACTACACTTTTGTGTCACTCAATTGGTATAACTCAATCACCAAATCTATACTCGTGTGTAACTCGATCACCCAAATCGACATTGATGCTCCCAGTTCCACCTCAAACTTTGATCTTCTCATTGTTTTTGCACAATTCCAAAGTTTGAACCATATGCTTTGATATAATTGTTAGGAAAATGTCTCACCAAACGCGAAGGTAAATAAACTTGTCATGTCGAAACTTCACATAGAGTCGAGTAAGTTCTGTGGTAGGGGGCATTGTTAACTTTATCTAAACTTATGTCATTTGTCTAATCTTTTCTAATTTAGCACATGTTTGAGCCTCATTTTTTTTTATTAAGAATACATTTTAGAATAGTAGATTGATAGAGAATATATGATTAAAAAATAAAGAAAATTTTAAATTTTCGTGTAATATTATTTTATTGAAAAATGTGTGGTTGAAAAGAAGATTGTGAAAAATGTATTTTGAGAATAGTGATGATCAAAAAATGGCTTAATATGTTTATTTAATCATATTTATGGTAATTTGACCCAAAAATATTTTAGGCTATGTTTGACAGCACATATTTTCCATGGAAAATGGAATTTCCATTTTCTTGCTTTTGGCTAAAAAGGTTTTCCCACCTTTTTGGTGGGAAAAACTGTTTTCCAAGCTGCTGATTTTTTTTTTTATACCAATCAAACATATTTAATTAACAATTACCTGCAAAATATTTTCTAGACAATTATTTTCCCTGAAAATCATTTTCTTTCCACCATTGCAATCAAATGGACCCTTAATCTCGTTATGTCCCATTTTGTCTTACCTTGACTATCTAATTATTTAAATACAAAAAATTGCTTAAACTCATCTCAGTTTAATTTTTTTTTACCCAAACTTGAATCGATTACCCTAAAAGAGTGTTCGATTAATTTCATTTTCCATAGAAAATGTCATTTTTCCACTTAAGTTTACTTTTGGAGGTATTTAATTGATAATTTTTTCTATGAAAAATATTTTCTAACTTTTGGTCACGTGACCATATTTTTCTCGGAAACAAGGCAAACATTTTATTTAGGAAGGACTGGTTTTTATTTTCCAAGTAATTCACTTTACGTTTCTCTCTCATCAAACCTCACTCTTTCATCTATTCATCAATAAAAAATGAACAAATATAATATTTTTTAAGTTGAAAATTAAATTAATCAAACACATTGAATTAATAATTTCTTTCTTTTTATATAAATTTCTTGCCCGCAATCAACGCACACTAAACTCATCAGACCAATATTCAAATTACTCTAGAATTTATAAAAATAAAATATACGGTACGAGGATGCAGCACCCCCACCCTGCCCACTGCCATCCATAGGATTCTGATTCCTCTTTCTTGTTAGTAATAAGATCGTGGGGTCTCGACAGGACACGAAAGTGTTTGAGAATTTTAGACAAGTTTTGTTATAAATGAAGATGCTGGCTGTTTCCCATTACAGCTTAATTTATTTACTTTAATATATATCTTTCTCTGTCCCCAATCATTTTGCAATTACTAACCACTATAATTTTTTAGAATCATGCTACATATATGGGGCCTGCTACTTCACAGGTCCTTGCCAGATAACACACATGGGGTGGAGGCCACATATATATTTTTTTAATACATTAGGGTGGGGCACTGTGTAAAGTGAGGGGTTTGTAAGGCCACTGTAAAATTAAGCTCTCTACGCAGAGCTTAATTCAATTTTTTATACACAGTAATTGGCTGCTCCTTTGAAATAAAATGAACCAATTAGTATCTACCACATGTCCCAAAGAAATAGTTGATGTTATTCGGTTAGTACAACCAATTCTTGGTTAAATTTTCTTTTATTCACGAGTGTTCTGCAAGAAAATTTTATATTTTCTATATCTTTTTTACCTGTAATTGAATTATAGTTGAGTATCATCGATCATTCGGTCGGTCCCAAATTTACTTGTCTATGAGTTTAATATTTTGAAATTCAAAGAGACGAAGTCTAAATTTTAACTTTCTATTCATAAAATTTTAATGTATGTATGTCTTTTTGCTTCAATCAAAGTTCAAGACGGGTTGTAAAATTCTTATATTTTATTAGGAGATTCAACCAAATAGAATCCTCGTTACTAGCTTTATTCGTAATTGGTAGTTTAGCAGATAATAACGTCAAAGTCAAGTCAAGAAAGATTAACGAGAATAAAAATACTTTAAAGTTGTGTGAATAAAAATGATGCACGAGGTCGCACTCCAAGTTGTATGGGAAAATATTTAACCATCTATTTATGAATTTGATTCCTTAAATAGTTTATATGTTCTTTTACTCAAAATTTGCATCCCTAACTTTTAGCTTTATTTATATATTATGCCCTTTAAATATAGTTCTATAAATGTTAGTTTTCCTCCTGCGAGATGCAAAAGCTAATTTTTATAAGGGTGGCAAGAAACTACACTTAATTCTAATCCAATCTTTCAAGAATCATGCTACAAGAACATAGGGGATGGCCGAACACACACCTCGGGGGATCGGCATTATTTTATTCACGCGGGACCCGTGTGCAATGTGAGGGTCGGTCACCCGAAGTGTCAACTATTTTCGGGTGCAGTGGCTTTACTCATCTTTCAAACCTTTTTTCAATTACAAATTAAGAAAGAAATAGTTGAACAGCTAGATTATGCAAACTTTATTAATATTTATGCATCAAAAATACAATGCGAGTAGTATTTAAGTGATTGTTTAGAACAATTTCGACATTATTATTATTATAATATAGTATAAATGGTTTAAATGTTATAATTTTTTTGCTGTTTTGTTGGTAAGTTTTAAGCTAATAAATTTAATTTTATAAAATAATATGAATCAATGAATAATACAATTTTGGGTTCCAATTTTAAGACCATGAAATCTTGGGTCTTTTTTTACCCATTAAGTCACTATTTGTCTACTATTCTCTAAATTGTTTTTTTTTTTTTTTCTAAAATACATTTTCAACTAGAGATTTTCACAATAAAATATTTTACATGTATCATTATTATTTTATAAATGGAGAAATTCAACTTACATGAAATTTTAAAACCTTTCAAAAATTAAATTTAAATACATATGTTGGCTCTAAATTTAGCTCCTATTTGAACCCAAAAGTCATTTTTTCAATCCCCTCACCCTCACCTTTCACCATAGCCCAACCCACTTGTATATACAGGTTTATTTTATTTATACATGTAAACCTTTTCGACCAAATATTTCTCCTTTTTATATCGCTTGGCTTCATACTCTTCTTTTCCTCTCAATTTGAAACTTTCATAAACTTTCTTCACTTCAAAGCAAAAATAATCTCTTTCTAGAAAACAATGGGTTCTTCATCAGGTTTTAAGCTGCTGATTCTCTTAGCCCTCTTCACCATATCATGCATGGCACAAGCTCCAGCAGGCGCACCAAAGGTCTCACCCACCGCCACCCCAACACCAGCACCCTCTGTGGCGACACCGACTCCGGCACCATCTCCGTCGTCTCCTTCTCCAGTTCCGGCCCCAGTTCAAACTCCAACTCCATCACCTTCCCCAGGAACTGAAACTGAAACCCCATCCCCTGCACCAGGCGTAATTGCACCAACCCCATCGGGTCCCACGGCAGGCCCAACTGCTGATCAGACGCCGTCAGATGGTTCAAATGACGGGTGGGTCAACAGGGCAGAGATCGGCGGCACCGCCTTTGCTGTGACACTCGTCGCGTTGGCGTTGATATAGGTTCTCAACGTGGAGGGTTGTGTGGATATAGATGTGGACTTTTGGACGGCTGAGATTTATTTCTCTTTCTTGGATTTTAGTTGTAATTTCGTTTGATTCTTATTTCTTTTTTACGTGTTATATGCTATTTTTGTTCGTTTTATTCTACTGCATTTTATTTTTAAATTTGTGATATATTAGCATCTCAGTTTTGTTTGACACAGTATCTCAATTTTTAAATACGGAGAAAATAATAGAGAAATTGATAAAAAGTCAATCAATATAACATTGGTTTCTAAATTTTTCTACGATTGATCGTTTCACACGTTGTTAATAGTGAATGTTTGTGACAGCATATTTACATTCAAAAGTTTGTAACCATTTATATGTTAACAGTTACTTATGTTAATGGTGACTCTCTATGATGAAGTCTTTGTTAATTGTGACATGTTGTGACCATAATATGTTGATTGTGACATGTTATCTTATTATGACTTGTTATCACAAATTTTATTTGATAAAAAATTAGCCTAAATTAAATAGAAATATTAGAAAATAGTTTGTCGATGATATTAACATAATAAACATCATTTGTAGTATTAAAAAGATGAAAATATTCATCTACATGTACATGACAATCAATAATTGCAATCACATACTAGTCACAAACCATAAAATGTCACAATCATTAAAAAAAAAAAATACAATTTGTACTTCTCAATTATAAATTTGTTGCAAATTAGACATTTTTATAGGACAAATTATTTATTGCTCTCAACTTATCAAATTAACTAATCACAACTCATTGTACAATCATAGATTATCAAATTAATTGATCACAACTTATTTCAATTTCACATTATCACATTAATTTGTCATAACTTATTTATCGATCATAACGTCACAAATTATAGGTCACAGCTACAAATTTTACTCACAAATTCCAATTTTTTATGTCACATACCATTTACGATCATAAATTACTCGTTTTATTAGTTATAATTACCTAATAAATGGTCGCAATTACAACTTTTCTGGTCCAGTCAATATTGATACAAAAAAGCAATAATGATTGCACATGTAGCATGTTTCATATTGATAAGGTCCCTGATCAACGTTATGCAGTAAAGAAAATCTGAAATTTGGTTTCTATGGGTCATCACATCTAGTGCGCGTTCGATCGTGTTTAAAATCGAATTAAAATTGAAAATATAGCAGTTATTAGATCTCACTAATCTAATAAAAGTCAACAATAACGACTAATTTTTCAATTTTAATCCAATTTGAATATCTACCGAACACGCCCTTAATGTAATTTTGGTGCATCTAGTAGCTTCCCAAGGAAGCAAAAACTTTGAAGGATTTCATAGGTTAAACCCCCTTAACAGGTCCACGTAGGCCCTGATAATGCAGCATAATCCGGATTTCTTAATTGGGTTCCTCGTCATTTTCGACATATGGTCCACTATAGACAACCTTGAATTCGATTAAATTGATTTGTCCATTGAATTTCTTCTCAACATTCATCCAAGACACTAAGAACATTAAACGAAGGGCGTAAATGTCAAAATAAATAAATAAATAATTGGTGACTTCTTGTATTATTTTCATTGCACTTTCAGCCTCATATTTAATCCTTATATATAGTTTATGTAGAACTAATTTAGTATTTAATTATATGTTACTAATCAAAAGAAGATTACACATAAAAATTCTCCAAGTTCTTCAATATTTCCCGAAGATAGACTAATCGTCCAATTTTTAGGTTTGGCGACGGTTAAACGCACCATACCATAATCCAAAATTGAAATAAGACAATTATATCGTGGTTG